TGTGACATCTTGCTTACTACGTGTGAAATCTGTGAATGATCACAGAGGTCACATGGTACAAAGGCTATTCACAACAGCCTTGTACCATGTGACAAGCTGTGACCAATCACAGCTCACACAGTAGTTCTCAATGGCTGCAGGAATGCAGACAGAGAGAAAGAGAAATGATTGCTTTTACATCCTTTATGGGTGTAAAAGCAATCAGTGGAAAAAAAAAAAAAATCTTCATCACCCCCCACAAGTAGTACAGTGTCACCATGGTGACACTGTACTGCTAGGGTGACAGTATGTAAAAAAACATAAATAATAATATAAAAAAATGTAAAAAATATGTAAAAAAATGTTTAAAATTATAATTTTGGTTATAAACTAATTTGGGTTATTTTTTTTTTTACTAAAAAGATAACGGAATAAATTTTGGCCAAGATTTATGATGAAATACTATTTATTTGCAAAATTTTATAAGAAAAACACTTTTTTCTAAATTTTTGGACTTTTTCATTTACATAGCAAAAAAAATAAAACTCCCAGTGGTGAATAAATACCACCAAAATAAAGCTTTATCTGTCTCAAAAAAATGCTAAAAAATTCATATAGGTACAGTGTTGCATGACCGCGCAATTGTCATTCAAAGTGTGATAGCGCTGAAAGCTGAAAATTGGCCTCGACAGGAAGGGGGTAAAAGTGTCCGGCCTGGAAGTGGTTAATGTGATGTCTGCAAGAGTGACATTTTTAATGTAAAAAGAACCAAAAACCTTTTGCCACTAAATTACTTTTCCTGGCCAGCTTTGTTGTGTTTGTAAAAAATGTGGTGGGATCCTCCACAAAATCCATACTAGACCCTTAGGCTTGATAACGGTCTGATGATGGTGTGGTATGAATTTGGAGGAGGACTCCATGCAAAAAAAAGTGTGGAATCACCCCAAAAATGTGGTGGGGTCCTCCACAATATCCATACTAGACCCTTAGCCTTGATAACGGTCTAATGATGGTGTGGTATGAATTTGGAGGAGGACTCCATGCAAAAAAAAGTGTGGAATCACCCCAAAAATGTGGTGGGGTCCTCCACAAAATCCATACTAGACCCTTAGCCTTGATAACGGTCTAATGATGGTGTGGTATGAATTTGGAGGAGGACTCCATGGACTCCATGCAAAAAAAAGTGTGGAATCACCCCAAAAATCTATACTAGACTTATATCATTGACAAATGTATGTTAGAGACTTGAAGGGGTACCCCAGGCAAGAAAAAAAAAATGCGCCATGGGATTGGCCCCAAAATCTATACAAGACCCCTATCCAGGTATGCAGGCTGGCTCTCCAGGGAAGGGCAGTGGGCGTCCACCCCCTCCTGAACCGTACTGTACCTGGCCTTTATTGCCATATAGAAAAAGTTTCCTCCCCTATCCCCTTTTTTGCAGCATTTGTTTATTATCATAGTACATACAGTATTTTGGATCAACAAAATGTATTGTTCCCTAGAAAAGAAAAAATATCCAGCTATGAATTTTTGGGGGAAAATAAGTGATTTGCTTTGAAACTTCCATAAACTCGAACTGAACTTTTCAGAGTCTCGGTTAGTGTCTGCTGCACAACAAAACTCCAACATTACATGCAAGTTTCTGCAGAAATGTGAGATACAAGGTAGGCTATAGAGAAGCTCAATGAGAGTCCCTCAAGGGGGAATAAACATTACTTATTACTGTCTTGTGCCTAGTGAATATTACCACCTCCCAATATTTAAACAATAAAATAAAAGCAATTATTCCAGTGTGCGTCGCTTCCTGAGCATTCAGTGTCACACAGAGGAATTGATTTCCCCTGACAGAAGCTTCTTTAAATACATATATACATGCTAGGAAAAGTTATTGCTTTCTACATTATGACTTCAGTCAGCAAGACAACAATCTGAAGTTATTTCACAATGGCAATCTAATGATGGTGAATGGGAAATAGGAAGGGGGCTCTTTGTTTGGTAGTACATCTCCTATATGCTGAAGACTCCTTGCTCAGCTGATTATTGACTCATTTATTGACTCAATTACTATTTTTTTTTTTTTTAACTAAAGTTTTAAAGGAAACCTGTGCCAAGTACAAAGAATATGAAGCTCCATTTTTGGTACCATTTTGTGCCGAGAGGCTGTCAGGATAGTGACAGCTTCTTGCAGAGAGCTTGAGGTTGCTAAGACTCCATGGGGCACTTGCTTCCTAGCAACCAAAGACTTATTCAGCGCCCCGAATGAAAGCTGAATGAACTAGTCTCGGAATTCCTCATCAGATTTCACCCACCCAACTCCATGTCTGTAGTGCTGTCAATCAAAAGCAAGGTGGACCTGGTGGGGAATTAGTTTCTCAGTTTTCCACGCAACACAACTCCTCAACCATGTGCCTGTCTGTGTGAAGAGAGCAGTGGCTGAGGAGGGAACTTACTAATGCTCAGTTGTTATTAGTAAGACATCTTAAATATGCAGCTCAGTTTTTGGTACCATTTTGTATAGAGAGGCTGTTAGGATAGTGACAGCTCCCCACAGAGATCTTTTGATTACTAGGACTCTGGCGGGCACTGGCTTCCTAGCAACCAAAAGACTTATTCAATTCCCTAAATTAAAGCTGAATGAAAAAGTCTTGATGTTCCCCATCACAGACTTTTCACTCACCTCATAGCAACTTCAATTCTGCAGTGCTGTCAATCAAAAGCAAGGCGGACCTGATGGGGAATTAGTTTCTCAGTTTCACATGCAACACAACTCCTCAACCATGTGCCTGTTTGCATGATGGGGGCAGTGGCTAGGGAGGGAACTCACTAATGTTTAGGTATTAGTAAGACATCTTAAATATGCAGCTCAGTTTTTGGTACCATTTTGTGCAGAGAGGCTGTTAGGATAGTAACAGCTTCTTGCAGAGAGCTTTTAGTTACTAGGACTCTGACGGGCAACAGCTTCCTAGCAACCAAAGACTTATTTTAGCTTCCCCAAATGAAAGCTGAATGAACTAGTCTCAGAGTTCCTATCAGACTTCACCCACCCAACTCCATGTCTGCAGTGCTGTCAATCAAAAGCAAGGTGGACCTGGTGGGGAATTAGTTTCTCAGTTACCCATGCAACACAACTCCTCAACCATGCACCTGTCTGTGTGACGGCACAGTAGCTGGGGAGGGAACTCACTAATGCTCAGTTGTTATTAGTAAGAGATCTTAAATATTTAGCTCAGTTTTTGGTACCATTTTGTGCAGAGAGGCTGTTAGGATAATGACAGCTCCCCACAGAGATCTTTTAGTTACTAGGACTCCGACAGGCAACGGCTTCCTAGCAACCAAATACTTATTTTATTCCCCATATGAAAGTTGAATGAACTAGTTCCCTATCAGACTTCACCCACCCAACTCCATGTCTGCAGTGCTATCAGTCAAAAGTAGGGTGGACCTGATGGGAAATTAGTTTCTCAGTCCCCCCCACACCCCCCGCTACCAGGGGCGGACTGACCATTTGGAAACTCGGGCACTGCCCGAGGACCCGGGGTCAGTAGGGTGCCCCATGAGATGCCCCTGGTACCTTTTTCATAGGCTTTTTTGAGTTTTCGCAAAGACACAGGGACCCCATGATCCCTATTGCCCGGGGGCCCCATGAGTTGTCAGTTCGCCCCTGCCCGCTACACAACTTCTCAATCATGTGCCTTTCTGTGTGATATGCACTGGGGAGGGAACTTACTAATGCTGAGTTAGACACTCTGGCCTTGGCACCATTCACCTCTTAAGACAGATTCATGTACCTGTTCGCAAACAGCAATATTTGGGGCTTGCTTACACTAGTATTGTTTCTTGATCCACTGTGATCACTTTTAACAGAATGGCACAGGTGTTCAGGAGTCAGTATGCCTGTAAGCCCAAAAGGGCTTTTTCAAGCCTAGCAGCACCATTTACTTGAATAGGTTGCATTTTGTGGAAGCACTGCTTTGCCAGACATCACGGGGGATCATTTTTTGCTGTGCCAAAATGCAATGCATTACAGCATGTGCATACTCCATAGGCTCCCTTTTCAACTCAAAAGGGGGGGGGGGTCAATGTGGCTCAACTGCCTATTTCTGCCACTTCCCACAACCACAAATGTAAACTAGGCTTTTATGAATTCCCCTTTATGCTTTTGCACCCTTTGACCTGCTAGTGTAAAATCCATCACAGCCATACAAGTGAATTGTTCATCACACTCACACAACTCCCTTTGCTCCCTCTAAAGCCGGCCATAGACAGATCAAAATTCGGTCAGCAGCATCAACCAGCCCAATTTTGATCCATCTATGGGCAGACTGGTCATACTGACTGGTTGTACCCAGGGGTATATTTACCACAAGGCAAACAAGGCACTTGCCTAGGGCGGCATTTTTCAAGGGGCAGCACCTCCCTCCACAAGAAGGGATGAAAGAAGGGACACGCGCACACATGGGAACTTGGTGGGATGCGAGAGAGGCTGCTTGATGGTGTATATAGAGCCTGATGTCCGGAGCTGTAAAGATGAGAGTCTCTCTATTGCCTGGTGGGTGGGGGGGGGGTGTAGTGGAAGGCTCTTCCGGATGGGGGGCAGGGGTGCTGTTGGTCAATGTCAGGCTCTCTCCACAGGAGGGGAAGGGGGGGGTTGTTTTGGTCAGTGTCCATGGGGGCAGATGATTTTGTGTTGCCTAGGGCAGCATAAAACCTAAATACACTACTGGTTGTACCCACCGGCAGAACACAATAGCGCTGCGGAGGGATTCCCCCGTCATGTTGATGGGGGATTTGAGAGTTTTTTTTTTCCCTTCAGCCAGTGGATTAAGGAAAGAAAACTGCATAATGTATGGCCAGCCTTACTCTATGACCTTCCCTTCATCTGGAGAGCAGCCAGGAAATGCATGCGTGTCCATGCTTTGATTACCTCTTCTGTATCTGTATGACAGCTCCATCCATCCATTGGGATAAATTGAGACTGTTGTTCATACAGTGAAGCTCAACTACCTGCTGTGAAAGTGATTTCAATTTCGACTAGATTGTACCTTTTTCTCACCATGTGATTTTGGCTTTATTGAACTTTCAAAAAGAGTACGCACCTGATTTTTGGTCATATTGATACCGATGAGGAAAAGCAGCTCAGCTAGGAATAAAGCACAGCAGAGATTTTTATGAATGGTCGTCCTGGTGCTTTGGATTTCACTAAAGAAGAAGAATGTAAAGATGCACAAGGAGAGACAGATCAGGGAGATGATGATCCCCAGCTGAGTGATCCTGGTCAGGACGCTGTGATAAATGGACACCTGGAGGAAGCAAGCATAGCCCATAAATATCAGGATACAGACAGAGCAGGCAATGGTCACAACATATAGCAAAGGGCTGTTCCTTATATAGCAGATAGAGAATTATTATTATTATTATACAGGATTTATATAGCGCCAACAGTTTGTGCAGCGCTTTACAAAATGAAGGCAGACATTACAGTTACAATACAATTTGGTACAAGAGGAATCAGAGGGCCCGACTCGTCAGAGCTTACAATCTAGGAGATTCCTTTCTTTTCTTCTTACATCCACGTTAGCATTATTAACCTCTTGTTTCCTACATAAAGCTAGGTTCACACCTATGCAGGTTGCGTTTGAGCCATTTCTGCATTGTGTTTTGCATTTTTGCACCTGCATTTTTGCAGCATTTTTGATGCGTTTTTTTTTTTTTCTTGTTGCTAGGCTGATTTAAAACACAAAATGCATCAAAAATACAACAAAAATGCATCAAAAACACAATATATGCTTTTCTGCAGCGTTTCCATCGAAGTCTATAGAACCAAAAAGGCAACTTTTTGCATTCAAAAAAGTCCCTGACTGTTTCCAAAATACGCACCGGGGAAAACGTGGAGATGTGAACATGTCCCATAGGAAATCATGTTAAATGGACTGTACTGAGTTTCTGCAAAATGCTGTAGAAAACGCTTAGGTGTGAACCTAGGGTAACGCATATGTGCAGCAATGAAGAGTTGGGTTTGAACGTCTACAGACTGTACATATGCGTCCATGGATGTCCACAGACAGCTCTTCATTTCTTATTATTATCAGCAGCTGGTGGGATGGCTACAGGCTAGTAAGCGAATGGACATTTCTCAAATGAGACATAAAAAAAGACCTGATGGGGCTTTAACCATTCCCTACTCATTGAAAAAAAACGTTTTTTTGGCTTTAAATACTGCATACTTTATTTGTTTTCTGCCTTTGTCAGTCCTAAAGAGAACATATTTGTTGTGGATTGCACTAGGTGGCATAAACTTGCAAGTTTCTCAGGGGTGGGAACTAATACACCTACCCAGAAGATTATACAGTGTAATTACAAAGCTTTAGCTATTACCTGCTTCATTAAAAAAGGACATTTTTGGATTTAAATATACCTTAATTATTTTCTACTTATGTCAGTCCTAAAGAGAACATATTTGTTGTAAGATTGCAATAGGTGACATAAACTTGCAAGCTTCTCAGGGGTGGGAACTAATATGCCTACCCATTACATTGTAATGACAATGGTTTAAGTATTCTTTGCTTTCTAAATCGTAAAGTAGTTTTGCAAAGTACGCTTTGCTGCCTAAATCGATCTTACAGAGGACATGTTTGTTGTGGGATTGCTATAGGTAACATTAGAAAAAGCTGCTCAGGGGTGGGAAGTGATATCCCAACTAGAAGATTCTACAGTGTAATGATGGGGCTTTATTTACTCCTTGCTTTATTAAAACCAGAACAATTGTTTTCTGCCTATGGCGATCCTACAGAGAATATAGTTAGTGTATGATTGAAATAGGTGACATTACATTGTACGTTTCTCAGGGGCGGGAACTGATGTCCCTACCCAAAAGCCTAATGAACCTCCTACAGTCATCCCCAGAGGATCTTACAGTTTCTCAGGAGTGGGAACTAATATGCCTACCCATTACATTGTAATGACAATGGTTAAGTATTCTTTGCTTTCTAAATCGTAAAGTAGTTTTGCAAAGTACGCTTTGCTGCCTAAATCAATCTTACAGAGGACATGTTTGTTGTGTGATTGCTATAGGTAACATTAGAAAAAGCTGCTCAGGGGTGGGAAGTGATATCCCAACTAGAATATTCTACAGTGTAATGATGGGGCTTTATTTACTCCTTGCTTCATTAAAACCATAACAATTGTTTTCTGCCTATGGCGATCCTACAGAGAATATAGTTATTGTATGATTGAAATAGGTGACATTACATTGTACATTTCTCAGGGGCGGGAACTGATGTCCCTACCCAAAAGCCTAATGAACCTCCTACAGTCATCCCCAGAGGATCTTACAGTTTCTGTAAAATGCTAGCACTATATAAGTATGGTAAACTCTTACAAATATATATTATGACATTATTGTTAATATGAAATACTACCACTAATGATAATAGCAACAACAATACTACTAATAATATTTTTTGCTGTCTATTAGTTTCTGTGAACTAGAAACTAGAAGAGCAGGTTGATGTAAAATTGAAAAAAGCTGCAATATAGGGATGGTGAGCATGAGCAAGTCCAAGGACAGATTAAAACTCATTTTCTCTACCGAGTTATCCATTAAGCACAAAGTAATTCTCTCCTGAAAGCAATGAGAAAATAATATGAAGTCTGTGATTGGGTTTTACCTGATCGATAATTAGAAAACTTGAAGAACCATTATTTATTTAAAGCTCGGTACACAGAGTCAGATGAGGCCTGAGCTGATATCAGTTGCCTCCTATGAACCTTGCAAGAACTGTAAATTCATCTTCCATGTGTTTATGTTCTTGTTTCAAAATACCTTTTTATTTTTATACTTGTGTACATGTACTTTGTATGCTTGTTGAATAGGGTATTGTGCAGAATCTCAGTGGGAATGCATTTCTCACATAAGACCCAAGATCACCTTTAACATTCCACCAGAGGCAAACATATATTTTAATGAAAGAGATATTTTAATGTGTAACATAACAATTATTTTTCTATATAAAAAAAGCAGACATATACCTCAAATACAACCCCCAGATATACTGATATTCCTGCTCATTAAATGTATGAATACTTATTATGACCATGCCTTTACAAAGACTTAAAGGGACCCTGCCACCTCCTTAAAAAATGCAGATAAAAGAACAATCAAGTCTTTCACTTGTATATATGCAGTGTTTTTCCTTTGTATAAATGTTTCTTTATTCACCTGCAATGAGATTTTGAACTTGCTAGAAAATGTCATATCTCTCAACTGTCCTTGATTTCAAGGGACATAGCTCCCCACTGTCCCTTATTTGGAACAAAGTCCTTCATTTCTCCTCATTTGTCCCACATTTTGGTTTGATCCATATAGTTGTATATACAATCCATTTTTTGTATGTTCCCATTGCTAACACCTTTCATCCAATTTCTAAATTGCTGCATTCATAAATTTCAAAAGCAAGTATAAAGGAATAGTAGTGGTAAAAATAAGCACTTGTGGATTTAACTAACCATTTTTTCTTGTATAAATCTCCTTTTAAGGAGGTGTGGCAGAGGGTGTGTCCTATGCCCACATACTTTTGCTAAAAGGTGTCCCTCATTCCCATCTCAAAAAGTTGGGAGGTATGAAATGTTTCTTCTCCAGAAGAGTCAATTCTCTAGCAGGGGTGGACTGACAACTCATGGGGCCCCCGGGCAATAGGGGATCATGGGGCCCCTGTGTCCTTGCCCAAACTCAAAAAAGCCTATGAAAAAAGGTACCAGGGGCATCTCATGGATCCCCCTACTGACCCCGGGCTCTCGGGCAGTGCCCGAGTTTCCAAATGGTCAGTCCGCCCCTGTTCTCTAGTACAGCCCCCTCCCTACTTGCATGTCTTAGCCCTCTCCTCTTTTGGGAAGGTCTAACTACTGTTTGTGTTGGTCCAACATCTTTGCCCTTCACTTTACCTCTCTACATAACTATAGAATACTATAGAGCAGCCATTTTTAACCAGGGATCCGTTGAACCCTAGGGTTCCTCCAAGGGTTGCTTGGGGTTCTTTGAGCTGTGGTTAACTATATCCTCCCATCTGATGGTGCCTGCATATTTCCAGGTCCAATGCCCCTTGGTAAAGCCAGTGGCATGGCTGCAAGGGTGCGTTTGACCACTACTGTAGAGAAGGGGGGGGGGGGCTTTTTTTTCTACTTACCACCACCAATGTAAGGGACATTTTCCCAATGACCCTCAATAGACTAATTTCACCAGGGGTTCCCTGAGATCCTAAAATTATTTCAAGTGTTCCTCTGGGGTAAAACTGTTGAGAAAGGCTGCTATAGAATGTCACTTGATTGTCAAGCTGCATCTGCTGGGTCTACTGAAATTACATCCACCATGGCAGCATCCAGCAGCAATCTCAGGGCTTTTGGATATCTACACAACAGCTTTTACAGGTAAATATTATGGCAAAAGAGTCTCTGTAAGACCCAAACAGAAGACAAATCATTCTGGAGAAACATTAGCCGTATAGTCAACACTAGTTGACATTGACTTAATGGCAAATAATAATAATAATAATTCATGCTCAGGGATTTTGGTCATATGATCTTTCCCACAAAGCCAGAACATCATTAGGACTTTCATTCTAATTCAAGTAATCTAAAGACAAAAAAACTTTTTTTAGCTTTGGATAGAGTGTGGAAGGGTTAGGATTTAAAGGGTGAGAACTTTTTCTTGCTGCCTGTGTTGAGGAGATTTCCCTTCACGTCCTGTCTTGGAGACATGAGAGAAAGTGAGAGAATACGTCTCCAAACGGAAGAAAACCTTTAATAAAGGATGTAAAATGTAAAGTGTTCCCCTCTTTAGAATGTTGGAATACCCATCATTTTCTGGCCTGGTAACAATAGCCACAACAATAAACATCATTACCAGCAGGGACACAGAAAGCACATGAAAATCAGACAGATTCACACTCTATACAAAATTTAAAAAAAAAAAAAAAAGCTTTCAAGACTTTAAAATTTAAAGTGCCAGCTGCATGTCCTGGTGTCAGTAACACCATTGTTGGTGTCGGTGAGAGAAATAGCGCCCCATCATTGGTATCAGTGAGAGGAATAGCACCCCATTATTGGTGTCAGTGGGTGGAATAGTGTCCCATCAATGGTGTCAATGGGAAGAATAGTGTCCCAAGCGCCTGATAAAGGCAAGCAAAGGGCCTCATCCAGCCCTTAGGCCGCAGTTTGGAGACCACTAATATAGACATACACAAAAGGTTCAGATTGTGCAGAGGTCGTTCAATCTATCAGTGTGTTTTTGGACTGCTGGAGGAAACCAAAGTAACCCACTAACCACATAAAGTACAAAGAAATCTAATGTGATCTTCAGGCAAACAAGGAAACACACAGCTGAAATACACATCACCTTTCTAAGGAGTTGTAATTCTGCTGTTGGATCTGGCTTGTGATACCAGCAGGGGTGGACTGACCATATGGAAACTCTGGCACTGCCCGTGGGCCCGAGGTCAGTAGGGGGCCCCATGAGATGCCCCTGGTACCTTTTTCATAGGCTTTTTTGAGTTTGGGCAAGGACACAGGGGCCCCATGATTCCCTATTGCCCAGGGGCCCCATGAGTTGTCAGTCCGCCCCTGGATACCAGTAACCATGCTAGGCAGTACAGTTAGACCCTGGACCTCCCCATAGACTACACTACTACTAAAAACAACTTGGTCTAAGACCACCTCAGCCTGTGAATGAACAATGAAAGAGCAGCATCATCCAATGAGGACCATCCTTCTGTTCTCTAAGTATGTTCACAGATAGCAAGCAACAGATCCCCAGTTGGCTGGGAGTGTCATATCCCACTTAACAGCTGTGTGAAGTATTAGAAGTGGCTAATACAAGATTGATACAGGAACTTCTACCATTTGATGTAACAATTGCCCGAATGACTACATACTGTAATTGGAATAAACAATTTTTTAAATGTGTGCCCAGAATATACGTTTAAAGTGGTAGTACAGTGGGGCAGCACAGTGGCTAAATGGTTAGCACTTCCGCCTGGCAGTACTAGGGTCGTTGTTCAAATCCCAACCACGGCACCACCTGCCTGGAGTTTGCATGTTCTCCCTGTGCCTGCGTGGGTTTCTCCGGGTACTCCGGTTTCCTCCCACAACTCCAAAGACATTCTGGTAGGTGAATTGGATCCTGTCTAAATTGCCCCTAGTATGTGTATGTATGAATGTGAGTTAGGGACCTTAGATTGTACACCCCTTGAGAGTTAGGGACTGATGTGAATGTACAATATATATGTAAAGCGCGGCGTAAATTGACAGCGCTATATAAGTACCTGAAATAATAAATAAATAAATAGTAAAGTCTAATTTTACACTTCTACCTACAGGTATGCCTATAATAAGGCTTACCTGTAGGTACTGTAAATATCTCCTAAATGTGCATCGTTTAGGAGATATTTACCTGTGTAGAGCACCCGCGCATGCGCTCTGAAGGAACAGCATGCCCGTGAAATTCCTTCAGAGCTGTGTGCCGCAAAAAGTGACTCCCGCATGCATGAGTGGGAATGACGTCATCGCGGCTCAGCCATTCAAGCCGCCAGAGCCTGTGAACCTAAAAGAAGGACTGTGAGAAGATGGAAGCCCTGTCAGAGGTGACAGTGTGCTTCATTTTTAAGGTAAGTTTCACATAATGTGCTAGTATACAATGCATACTAGCACATTATGACATTACCTTGCAGGGGAAAACGTTTTTTTTTTTAGAGTTTACTACTACTACCACTACTATTTACTAATGGAAATAGCAGCAACACAACAATGTCCAAGTGCTAACTATGACGCTACTGTGTTGCTCATTGGTTAGACATTGTTATAATTCTACTTGCCAAGATAGCTATTACATAGAAAGTTAACCGACATCTCTACTCTAATGGTAAGCCCCCTTACACTTACCTGGTTATGACTGGATGATGTCATCAGTATAGCAAAATGAGTGAGATGGTTACACTTGCATGATGTGTGGCTAACATTGGCATTGTCCACGTCACAGCCTTCAGTAGACCATTCCCCCTGAAGAGTTTCTACACTGTATTTCCAAAATGCACATTTTGCGGTTTCAGGTTCCATGAAAGGCTGTAAAGATTACAAATTAAAATTTTCATGAGACAGTCAAACAAATGATATTAAGTGCTAGACACTGCCCTGGGGAACATGTACCAAAGCAAAAAAAAAAAAAAAATATATAAAAATTTGTTTGTAGGGAGCAGCAATTTTTATTAATGCATGATGTGGTTCTAAAAGGTAAAAGGTTTTTTTTTTTTTTACCTTAATACATTCTATCCATTAAGGTAAAAAAACTTAGCAATAGTAGCTTCCCCCCTGGCTTCTCTAAATACTTACCTGAGCCCGATCTCAATTCAGTGCTGTGCATGTCAGCAGCAGCCCTTCTCCCCTCTTTAAAAGGCTAGGCTGAGAGCACTAGGAACCATTGGCTCTTGCTGTTGTCAGTTAAAAGCTGTGACCAGAGATCAGGAGGAGGGGCTGGGCCACATTGTGTGTGTCAATAGATGCACTCAGCCAATCTCAGGAATGAGCCTACAAGAGCACCCCCATAGCAACCGGCTTGCTACGTGGGGCACTCGGAAGAGAGGGAGGAGCAGCCCAGAGCGTTGGCGGTGAACCCTAGAAAAGGAGGTTCAAGGCCGCTCTGTGCAAAACCATTGCATAGAGAAGGTAAGTATGTTGGGTAGGTGCAGCCTGATGTGGCGGCAGTAAGCACACAGAGGCTTTAAGTGCAGTAACCGATGTATCGAAGAACTTGAAAACAGTGCAACAGCCCAGCGAAGGAGTTCACCTGACTGGGAATTTACAGTCTATGCAGCGGAGAGTCAGCGGTAGCAGGCCAGCACTGATGACAGCACTTGTCAAGGGGGGTAGATGTGGCCTGGCAGGTCCAACCCAAATGGGAGCTTGCTGAAGTGCAGACATAGGCCCTAAGCTGTCCTATTCTTCTGGATCCTCTCCCTACCACTAGTGCTGTCCCTGACAAATGGGTATGCTCTACCTATGCTAGCCACTTTGCAAATGCTTGCAAAATCCTGTGGGCGAGACTTAAACAGACACTGCATGACCCAAGATAGCCATAAGGGTCACCAGGATGTAGTGTAGTCAACCAGAATGCTGCTCCAGGGAACTAAGGAAACCAGAGAGAAAAACCATGCTTCCCTTGATTTCTTCTCCAGCTACATTACCGCTTTGTTCAAGCATCACCTGCAGTGGAGAAATAGACTGCAGCCCCTGCCTACAACTATATAATGTTTGTTATTTTTAAAAAAAAAAAAACTTTACATGGGGAAAAAATTTGAATTTTTGTACAGCACTGTTCATTATTATTTAATGTGCATGGTTTTACCTTATATTTAAAGATCCCAGTTGATTTTACACTATATAGAGCACTTGGCTTTCTTTTTTCTTTCTATTATGGATGTGAAGCTTGAAGAGCATTGATGCTGAGGAGGGGTGATCAACTATTGGTTCTTATGCTCCTAGATTGTAAGCTCCAAGGAGCAGGGCCCTCCTATCTCTCTTGTATTGAACTGTATTGTTGCTGTATTGTCTCCCGTTAGATTGTAAAGCGCTGAGCAAACTGTTGGCGCCATATAAATCCTGTATAATAATAATAATGCCATTGGATCTTTTCCATGCTGATTCTTGCTGGTTGGTCAGGGAAGATTATTGCTGACTAGATGCAGTATTTGGGTCATGTGCTATATGACTTCTCTTTTCATATTTTTCTGGTAAGCCTTTTTTAGGTGAAGCACAGTGGTGGAGGACCATTAAGAGTGGAATGCACATGATGATTTTTATGGACTGTATTATATTTCTTCTCAAAGCGTTTTTCTCACCTTGCATTTAGAGGTAGAGGACTTTTTGCTTTTGATGTGCAATCTATTTTTAATGATGGCACTTTATTCTTTTATGTATAATCAGGCTTGATAACTGTTCACATAGTGTGCATGATATCTAGTTGATTTCATTGATTACATTTAATATATATTAATTTTTATTTATGATTAGCACAGCTCTCTTTTGGTATTGTATACCCTACAGCAGCCAGTAAGCTAATATTTAGGTGAATAACTTAAAAACTCGATTCTGACCCTTGCAGTTGGCAGGTACACGCTTTTTGTTTCCATATTGAATAGGCCTGTATTTCAAGTGTTGCACTTAACACACTTGACCATGCACATGGCTTTTATCCCATATTAATAAGCCTGTATATCAAGTTTTGAACATAACACATTTGACCATGAAACAGAAACACTCACAGAAGGACAAATTATTGGAAAAAAATCTATTCTATTTTATATGTAGAAAATGCCAGCACATTCTCTCATTGTACAATCTATGAGGTCAATAAAGAACTTTCCTTTTCCAGACTAAAACTTTTAAATTCTTAAGTTCAGTTTCCATAGCAACCATCCAATGAAAAAAGACAGACATATCATGTCTAATTTCTGATTTAAATAGGAATCACAAAGTTTTCGAAGGAACCGGGGTGTGGTGGGATGTAAACGTTGTTCTTCCTTGCTTGAAGTTGACCCCAGGGTGTAAGGACAGTCACTAAACCCCTACTGCATTACTGCAGAACCCGCCAGCACAAATTTATCAGTAATAACCACTTACCTCTAAATGTCTAAGCGTGAATGTGACTTTTTCTAGTTGGTAGAGTGTAGGAGGGTTGGAATTGATTGCTGCCGCAATAATCGGTGAGTTTACCAGGTTACCAAACTCCATTGAATTATTATCTTCTGCCAGAGCGTGGTTTTCTGGAGCTGCAAAGAGTGCACCAATGCTGTCATATCGGAGAAATACAATGCTCACTGTGCCTGATGAAAACAAGAAAGCATGGATTTTAAATTTACAGAATATAAAAAACCATAACACACTTTAAAAGATAACTATACCTTTAATAAAGTTGTTCCCAACCAGGGGCGGACTGACTATTTGGAAACTCGGGCACTGCCCGAGGGCCCAGGGTCAGTAGGGGGCACCATGAGATGCCCCTGGTACCTTTTTCATAGGCTTTTTTTGAGTTTGGGCAAGGACACAGGGGCCCCATGATCCCCTATTGCCCGGGGGGTCAGTAGGGGGCCCCATGAGATGCCCCTGGTACCTTTTTCATAGGCTTTTTTGAGTTTGGGCAAGGACACAGGGGCCCCATGATCCCCTATTGCCCGGGGACCCCATGAATTGTCAGTCCACCCCTGTTCCCAACTAACCCTCTACTCATGCAAACTCTACCCTATATAAATACTAATCCAACACTAATCTTCCCTGTAAGTCCAACACTATCCTAGCCTGTAACCCTCAATCAATTGTCCCTATAACCCTTTTATTAACCCTCCCTGTAAGGTTTACACTAACACTCCCTCTTACCCTCACACTCAGGGGTGGACTGACCATTTGGAAACTCGGGCACTGCCCAAGGGCCCAGGGTCAGTAGGGGGCCCAATGAGATGCCCCTGGTACCTTTTTCATAGGCTTTTTGGAGTTTGGGCAAGGACACAGGGGCCCCATGATCCTCTATTGCCCGGGGCCCCATGAGTTGTCAGTCCGCCCCTGCTCACACTAACCCTCTTTTTAAGCTTTACACTAACCTTCCCTGTAATCCCAACACTAAACTTCCCTTTTAACTCTCATGCCAACCCTTCCTGTATCACTAACACTAACCCTCCCTGTAATCCTAACACTAACTCTACCCATAACACTAACTGTCCCTATAACCTTAACACGTATCCTTCCTGAATCCCTAATACTAACCCTTCTTGTAATTCTAACACTAACTCAACCCATAACCTCAACATTAACCATCCCTGTAAACCAAACACTATCCTAGCCTGTAACCCTCGACCAACGGTCTTAATAACCCTTTTAATAACCTTCTCTTTAAGATTTACTCTAACATTCCCTATAACCCTCACACTAACCCTCAATGTAGGTTTTACATTAACCTTCCATGTAATCTCAACACTAAACCTCTCTGTAACTCGTACACTAACCCTCCCTGTATCCCTAACATTAACCCTCCCTGTATAATTAACATTAACCCTCTCTGTAACTTTAACACATACACTTTCTGTATGCCTAACACTAACCTGTCCTGTAATCCTAATGCTAACTCTACCTATAACACAAACCCTCCCTGTAACCCCAACACTTATCCTTCCTGTATCCCTACCACTAACCCTTCTTGTAATCCTAGCACTAACCCTACCCATAGTCCTAACACTAATCCTACCCATAACCCACTCTGCAAAGATAACAAACTCCACATATAACATTAACACTAACCATCCTTGTATCCCAACACTGACCCACCCTGTAATTTTAACACTAACTCTACTCATAACCCCAACACTAATCATCCTTGTAACACCTACACTAATTCTTCCTGTAACCTCAACATTAACTCTACCCATAACCCTACCTGTAACTCTCAAACTAGTCCTCCATGTAATCTATTATCCTGTAGTAAATTATTAAGTGTTACCCTCTAAAATGGATCATTATCATCAGTCATTTTTGGATAGTTAACTCATTGTTGAAGTTAGGGCTACAGTAGGGGTAAAGAAACTCCCAATGGCTAAACAGTGTGTCTTGGGAGTGGTACACCAGCTCATGCCATACCCCCTGCACACATATAACAGGGGGGAGATGCATCCAAAAGCAATAACTTACAAAAAACCCACAAGAAAGAAAGGATACAGCACCTCTATAGCTAATGAACAGAATATATTTATTGGAAGTCAAAAATGACAATGCACATCCCATACATTCCCTCCCCCCACTGCCCACCCCAAAACCAACCCCCACCCCCAAAGAAAATCCCTCCAGAAGGCACAGCTCCACCCCAACAATATCCCCCTCCTCCATCCCCCAGGACACCCTCAATCCCCACAGCAGACTCCCCTCTTCTCTCCCTCCCACTACAGTAGAGGTGCCTACTCTGTAAGATCATGGGTAGAAGGAGGAATTGCTATTGCTTAGGTAGGCTTGCAGAAGCAAAATAACTCACAATAAGCGTGGAGCAGTGTGGAGATATCATATTTGGTAGCAATAGGAAGACATGAGATTATGAGGTGGTGGGCCATGGTGCAACCACTCAAGCTTTGATTGCTGTACATTTCCTATGTTTTAGGGATTCTTGGGAAGCAGTAAAGATTATTTGTATATTCAAGTAGTAATCCAGAGGTCCCCTCATAGGTCTGTCTTAGGAGGTGATAACCCCCCTTCCCCTCCCCCAGGTTTGCTTTAAAGCCCAATTTGGCAGCACTCAAACCCGTTTGGCCTCCCCATATCCCCTTTGGAGAACCTAAGCCTTTTTTTTTTGTAATGGTGTATCCATACTGTTTTCTCTAAATCTCTTTGGTCTGGTCCAGTGGCAGGTCCTCTTTACCCTTTTCTTCCTCTGGTACTGGGCAGACCCTAAATGCTGCATAGGGTGGCACCACATAATGACATATTGCCTCTGCCTTCAGCATTCTCCTGTGTATGTATAAAAGGGGCAGGTTCTTGACATCCTGGGCTTGTAGGGAGTGGCTTGCTGGGTGTCTTTTAACTCAGAAGACAAGCAGCCATGAATCATTGAGTGGCTAAATCTGCAGTGGACAGTGCCAGTAAGGAGGTGAACATTGCAGCAGGAATTGCTTTTTTGTTTTTAGCACTTGCAGGGGGGTTCCATGTGTGACCCAACCGCAAAGAGGTTTTCAGCTAGCCAAATGCTTACAATGTGATTGTGCAATCTACTATTTTAGATGCAGAAATGAAAATCAATATCTTGGAAAAATTGATCAACTAACATCTAAAACTTCCTTGACCTCTCTCCAGTCTACCCAACCAATGCTTTATATAAACCATGTCCAAATGTTATGAATACAAAGGAGTTTATGTGAGCCTACACCCATAGATTTCAATCTATTATATAGTACAATAAAATATTAGAATGTGTGGCTAGCGCTGCCTCTAAAATATATTGCTCCTAGATACACAGAGCAAGCTTTTGTTTATCAGACATGATTAGCGCCATTCATCTTTGCCACACCACCATTGTTTTTTTGTCGTCTGCATTCACCAAGCTCCTTCTCCTGCCTTTATAGCCTCTCTTACTGTAAATACATGTATATTTCCCGTAAATAAACGGACAACGGTTGTTTGCCTAATTGCGCCTAGATTAATACTAGAGGGGGGCGATTTGACAAATGCTGTCAGGTCTAGCATTGCATTGTGCTCATTTATTCAGCTAATACTATTTTAATGAGCTGTGGCACATTTCTTTGATTAAATCGTTCTTTAAAGTCATTTGCTCTGGCTATTAAGGGCTGCAAAAGCAGTGTTATTCACCTCCATTGTCATTGGTATTCACAGCCAGGTTCCCGGTATCTAAACTGCCGAGGAATAATCACACATGACTGTGTGTGTGCGCCTAGACCGGAGCAGATATATACCTGCTGTACATCCATAGAATTACATAATTACATTTGTGTACGTGAGGATGCACACATTATATATACCTGAGAAATTATAATTATCCTTTATTTGTAAAATGTCATCACATTACATACTGCCTTACATCAAATAATTAATAGAGGTATATACTATACATTCTGGTTGACCTTGTTAGTTATTAGGTTCATGCTGAGGTATAAAAGGGAATCTATAGATCTTTAATGTATTTTCTTTTTTATGCTCAGTACATAAAGGGGACCTTCACTCAAAAATTAAGTTTTTTGCAATCTAATTACACCCCCCCCTTTACTTTTTAAAAAGTAAACCTTCCTATTTTTTATCCCTTTTTCTTCCTAGTTTGCTTTAAAAAATTTTTGTGTCTTCCCATCCCCTGCCATGGTGCTATTCTCACCTGGGTGAGAATGACATATCATTCACTTCTTGCCTCCTCCTGAGACTTCCAATTTCCCAGGAGACAAAACCTTCCATTCATGTAAGCAGATGACGGATCTTGCACATGTGCAATACGGCATAAGAAGCTAAGAGTGGAACGCAGCTGAGACATTTTTTCATATTTCTGATAGGGACTGAAGATAGGCTACAGTGGGCGGCACCCAAATTGTCCATGTACAGTGGAAGCAAGTCTTGAGCGGAGCTGTGGATTTAGATGGACAGGTTGACAGTAAATTTGCTAATATGAATGATCAAAAAATTGCCCTCGATATGGAACCTTCTGGGATTTTGTAGCTGCTACCAGCCATGTCCTATGAAAATACAGTTAATTTGATGCAAGTGTAACCCCCTCTAGCTTAGCCAGAGAGAGTGTGTTGCTTTCTTTTTAGGCAGAGGCTGAGTATCCGCCTGGCAGTGTGGTAGAGAGATCACCTCAGAACAGGCTAGGGAGGTTCTGAACGTCAGGGCTTTTGGAGCCCTCCCACCTCTCCAGAAATCTGAGGGCTTTCTGGAGGAGGATTGTAGGAGGGGAGGAAGCTCGGATCTGCATACTTGAGGGACCTTGGCCAACCCCCTGGCAGGAGGCTGGACATGGAGACCAAGGCAACCCTTAAGTATCATAGAGCCTGGGAGGAAGGGGCAGAGAGTGTCGGGTGTAAGATGGAGAGAGAGGCTGAAGTGTGGAGCCTGGGAGGGGGCCCAGGGAAGGGGCTTACCTACAGGAAGGTGCTGGAGAGGAGGATCTCCATGGTGCACTGTCTCCAAGGGAGGACATCCTGAGCAGCAGGGAAGGAGCCAGCCCAGTGAAAGGCCTGAAGGAAGCCACCAACCCATTGAACTATCAGGAGAGGACAGTGTAAGTACTCTTACACCCCATGGGCTGGATAAGGGGAGAGGGCAGTCAGGTGGAAAACCCAACTAACTTCTC